TTTTGAGTTGGAGTTTTGCGTTGTTGCCCAGGCTGGAATGCAATGGCAGGATCTCGGCTCACCGCAACCTCCACCTCCCTGGTTCAAGTGATTCTCCTGCCTCAGCCTTCTGAGTAGCTGGGATGACAGGCATGCGCCACCACACCCAGATCATTTTTTTGGTGTTTTTAGTAGAGACGGGGTTTCACCATGTTGGCCAGACTGGTCTCGAATTCCTGACTTCCAGTGATCCACCCACCTCGGCCTCCCAAAGTGCTGGGATTACAGGCGTGAGGCGCCGCGCCCCGCCAGTTTGCCCACATTTTTACTGCAGGTTGCCTTGTCTGTGATGAGGGGGAGAATGTTAGGAGGTTGCCCAGGCTTTTGATAAGGGAAGGCTTGAGGTGGTGCAGGTTTTCAAGTGAGAAGTTGTCCAGATTCCCAGTGAGAGCAGAATGAGCTTGCTTGGCAGTAGCTGCAGAGGGACCCACGGCTGTTCAGGTTCGAGGTTGAGTGGTAGTAGGTTCCCGGGTACTCTGTGAGGGTGACACAAGGTTGTGAGGGTCTATTACCACCGTCTCCACTCCTGACCAGAGCTCCTGATTCCTGACAATGCCAACGTCTTCTATGCCATGAGTCCAGCCGCCCCCGGAGACTTCATGCTACGGCGGAAAGAGGGGACCCGGCACACTCTGTCTGTCTCCCCGACCTGAGGCAGCTGTGTCCTCCCCGCAAGACACAAGTCCCACAGGCAAGCTTGTGACTCCTCTCCTGGAAAGCCGCCATCCCCCAATAGAAGCTACTATACTCTGTATCCCGGGACCACCCCCCAACTGTAGCCCATTGGACCCCATCTCTTTTCATGACCCTGTTGGTACTAGATCCATATTCCAAAGACATCAGCCCATGGGTGGCTGGTGGACAGCTCAATCTCATAAATATAGAAAGGGGTGGGGCATGGGTACGTCAGATCCCTCCCCAGAGAAATGTTACAAATGTTGGAGATGCATCAGAAGCGACAGATGCAGATGAAAATAGTGACCAGAGTTATGAAACAGGTGTCAGTCTTGTTTATTTTGCGCCTGTGTGCCACGTTCACCCTTTATCAAGATAAAGGAAAACAACCACACACACACACACACACACACACACACACAAACACAGAGAGAGAAAAACCTAAGAGCCAAGACCAGCCTGGGCAACATAACAAGATCCTGTCTCTACAAAAAATACAAAAATTTGGCTGGGTGCGGTGACTCACGCCTGTAATCCCAGCGCTTTGGGAGGCCAAGGCAGGCGGATCACCTGAGGTCAGGAGTTCGAGACCAGCCTGGCCAACATGGCAAAACCCTGTCTTCTACTAAAAGTACAAAAAAATTAGCCAGGGATGGTGTCATGTGCCTGTAACCCCAGCTACTGTGGAGGCTGAGGCAAGAGAATTGCTTGAACCCGGAAGGTGGAGACTGCAGTGAGCAGAGATAGCGCCACTGCACTCCAGCCTGGGTGACAGAGCAAGACCCTATCTCAAAAATAAACAAACAAGCAAGCAAAAAATGTGCTGAGCGTGGTGGTACGAGACTGTAATCCCACCTACTTGGGAGGCTGAGGTGGGGGAATCACCAGAGCCCCGGGAGGTTGAAGCTGCAGTGAGCAGCGACTGGGCTGCTGCACTCCAGCCTGGAGGAGAGAGGGAGACCCTGTCTCAAAAACAAAAACTAAGAGCCCTAAGAAAGGTGTTGGGTGGGGTATGACACTGAACCCAGATGCCAGAGAGGACCCTGTCTGGCTGGACACAGTGGCTCAGGAGGGTAATCCCAGTACTTTGGGAGGTGGAGGTAAGAGGATCACTTAAGTTCAGGAGTTCGAGACCAGCCTGGGCAATACAGTGAGATCACATCTCAATAAATAAATAAATAAAGGATCTTATCACACAAAGAGGGTTTAGAACTTCCTTCCCCAACATTTTTTG